TTGACGATTGGCGTCAACGGAGCACTCTTGTCGAGGCTGTTTCTGCACTCGTCTCCTTCGCCTCGGAGACGGCGTGAAGAGGAATCCGCCGTCGCCTTCTGCTCGCATCCTCCTGCGAAGCTCTTCGCCAAACACACTTTCACTTGAAATGGAACTATGAAACCCATCCTTCTTTCACATGAAGTGTAATTTAGTTTTAATTCTGTTTTACCAATTTAACCTTGATTGCATTTTAACCGAGAACAACGTACTTACCAATATCCGCGAAGCAGAAGCCACTGATTATATTCTCGTAACTTGGATTCTCCTGACATCCGAAACATCTGGGTTCTGGAAAAAGAAATAATATGAAAATGTAATATTCTAATCGTCGACATGTTGCAATTAACATTCTGGTTGGCATTGTGCTACACCAGTTTGGACTATATTTTATTTGAACAAATAGCAAGTAGGCTCTAAATGCCATAACTGGAGGCCTGGGATGAGCAAAGAAAGGTGAAAATGCGTCACTTTTATCAACTCCCTGCATTTTCGGTAGAGTTTCATCCAACGAAGCAATTGTGATTTTACGCTTACATTACACAGACTACTGATTGTCTACTTATTTCATAACTGTCAGGCACCGGAAAGTCGACAATGGGTAGTGCAAAATGATGCCAGCAGTACGTTTTTACGATAAAATTCCGTTGAAGGGGTTGATGCGGCAATGCATTGCAGTTGAAACTGCGGTCTTGGCTGAAGATGACATCTTCAGCACTTTTGGGTGGAATGGACAAGCGAAGTTTAACGCAAACGTTAAGCATTTCGTTTACTTTTTCAACAATCTTATGTGTAGACCTTACGTTCACATTGCATTTCGCATAGCCTTGCTTTCCCAAAAGTCGAAACTGCAGTCCACTCCAGCCGGGATGAGAACGACTTTTGGGAAAACAAGGCAATGTGAAATTCAATGGAAGCGTCAGCTCAACTCACATGATTGTGGGAAAATTCTTCTTCCACCAGTCGTTCATCACCTTAAACAGAATTCAGTGAATACATCTCATATTACTGATTTACTGGTAGTCACGAAAACAATACTTAATTTGAAAAATTAACTAATTAATGGTTATTCTCACCTAGAATGAAGTTCAGCCTCGATTTCATCTCATTTTTTCCTTTGCCCCGTCGGGACTCGAAGCAGAGACGGGGAGTTCGTAGCTTCTATTTAAATGATTTGTCTAAAATTTTCGATATTTTTACATTATTTAACAACATATATTTATGTATTTAATCGAAACATGACAACCTAGTGTAAAATGCTTACTTATGCTACCAGAAAATCCGTATGCGACAGAGTCAACGACCCTAAGAGTCCAAATATTATTTCTTCCCAATAGAAATAAGTCTAAAAGCATTTCGTTTAAGGTGACAGTTTACTTTTTCCACAATCTTATGTGTAGACCTTACGTTCACATCGCATTTTGCATAGCCTTGTTTTCCCATAAGCTATTCTCCTCCAGACCAGAAGCTCCTTGCCCAGAGGTCTACTCATCAAATGGTAGGAGATAATTTAACTTGTTTTTCGTTTAAATCAGTAAATGAAATGTATTAATCCTATTTCGTTTAAGGTAATAAGGGAAGTGGTAGTTGAAATCTCCCACAATCGTATGAATAGAGCAACGCTTCCAATAAATTTCGCACAGTCTTGCTTTCCTAAAAGTTCTTCTACTCCCGGCTGGAGTGGACACTGAAGTTTCGACCTCGCCCAGGTCGTGTCAACGCGTCCAGCGGGACTCGAACTATAACAGAGCAGCTTGCAATCTCGACAGGTTAGCCACTAGGCCACATTGTCAACAGTGTCATACGGTCAGATGGCAGATGACAAGTCTCAGTTCTCATGTTACGTTCTTTGGGCAGATTGTCAATGAAGCAAAGTTACATTTTGTTATAACAATCGACTACGCTACTTATTTTTAATTAATAATCATACTTTCGAGACTAGCAGAAATCAATTATATTGGATCTCTCTAAACTTTTCTTATGAGTAAAAAGAAGTGATGAAGTCGATTGTTATGACACATGTAACCTTGCTTCATCGGCAATCCCACCAAAGAATGTGATACGGGAAATTGCCTGTCCTTGTGTGAAATTCACACGTTCCTGTGATCCAACGGCACTCGTGGCAATGAGTCGGGATGACTGATAAGACCCGGGCGAACTCGAAAGTTCTATCCACACTTGTCTGGCTGTGAGCACCTTGTATGAAAACGTGTGATTGTGGCAGTCCTTGTAGCATATCAAACGAAATAGTGTGAATCCATCTCAGAGGTGCGATCAGCTGTTAGTCTCTAAAGGCCACGTCACGTTGCGGGTCTCGACGAGACGGGCTTCTGACGCCAAGTGGGATTGCGACGGGAAAGAGGTGAGCTTTCGCTTCGTAAATCGGCCCAAGTGACGGCATTTTCGGGCAGCTTCGCTCGAGTCCAACCTCAGTCGTGCAGATGGTCTCTTCTTCCGCTCGAACCCCGTCAGGTGGAGCACCTCTCTCGCATCTCCCGCTCCGCAACCGGTCTCCGACGAGCCCTGGCCAGCCTGCGCCAGCAGAGCCCCGACCTGTGCCAGCCGAATCTGGCCGCGGTTCGAGGCCGGCCCAGCGGGTTCGAGTCCCGCAGCGCGGCCGCTGCCAGCGACGCCCAACACCCGCGACTGCCGGCGGGACGTCGGCGCCGAGGCGAGCTGGTCACCGCCTTTGACGCGACTCCATTCGCGGCCTCGAACCCGGTCTCGAACCCGGTCTCGAACCCGGTCTCGGGCTCGGCCGAAGCCTCGGTCACCAGGTCGGCTGGCCCGGAGTCGAGAGTCCAGAAGCGCCGACAACGTCGGCAGATGCGATTGGACCAACGTCAACGCAAGCGCTCCTCCGTCGAGACGCACGAGGCCGCAAGCCCGGCTCCACCCGAGGCCAGGCGCGAAGAGGCGCGCGGCTCGAGTCTGCGTCCGTCAGAGCGGCTCGGCACTCGAGCCGACCACGCGGATCCGCCGGAACCGGCGTTCCGGGCGTCTCGCCACCGACCTTCCGAGGCCGGCGCATCGCCAGCCCGGCCCTTCTACGCCCAACTGGGCGCCACGGCGCTCGCCAGCACCGGCCACTTCCTGCCGCGGTACCGGCTGAAGGAGAACGAGCCGTTGGAATCCGAGGCCGACCTCTTCGCCCCGGAACCTCTGGCACAATGGCTGTAGACAGCCGCGTTGCCATGGCGACGCCAGACACTCCGACGACCTCGTCAGGCTGTCCAGGCGGCCGATGACCACGGACAAGCCGACAACCATTATCTCTCCCCG